CGGTGTCGCGGGGGAAATGTTGGGACAGTACGGCTCCGATGGCGAAGTCGGAGGCGTCAGTGGTGACATAGAAATGGCGAGTGGGGTCGACGATCTTGAGGACAGGGGCCGTGGTCATGGTTTGCTTGAGTAAGTTGAAAGCTTGTTGGCGRCGATCGTTCCAATGGAAAGGCTCGTCCTTGCGGGTGAGTTCSTGGAGAGGGTAAGAGATCTCGGAAAAGTTGCGAATGAATAGGCGGTAATAGTTCGCAAGGTCAAGGAAGGAAAGGAGTTGGAGGAGGGTCTTGGGTGGGGAGTACTCGACGAGGGCTGTGACCTTTGAGGGGTCCATACGGATGCCTTCAGCGGAGACAATATGGCTGAGGTATTCGACGCTCGAAGCGGCAAACGTACATTTGTTGAGCTTGGCGTAGAATTTTTGCTCGCGGAGGATCGAGAGAACTTGGCGGAGGTGCTGAAGGTGGGACTCGAAGGTGGGGCTGAAGACAAGGATGTCATCAAGGTAGACGACGACAAAGACTTCGAGGAGGTTGTGGAAGATGTGGTTCATGGTAGATTGGAAGGTAGCGGGGGCATTGATGAGTCCGAAGGGCATCACGAGAAACTCGTAGTGCCCGAACCGAGAGCGGAAGGCGGTCTTGTGGGTGTCCTCCTCGCGGATATGGATCTGGTGGAAGCCACTGCGAAGGTCGATCTTGGTAAAGTACTTAGCTCCACGGAGACGATCAAGGAGGTCGGAAATGTGAGGTAGGGGGTACTTGTTCTTGATCGTGATCCGGTTCAAGGAGCGGTAGTCTGTGCATATGCGGAGTTCCGAAGTTCCACCTTTCTTGACGAAAAGGCAGCTGGTTCCGAAGGGGGATGAACTTGGCTTAATGAACCCTTTTTCAAGGAGTTCACCGAGTTGCCGTTTCATTTCTTCGGCTTCGGGGACAAAGAGTTGGTATGGAGGGCGGCAAGGTGGAGAATGTCCGGGTTCCAAATCGATGGTATGCGATACGCCACGATCCGGAGGTAGTCCGCCGGGTAAGGAATCGAGAAAGACGTCCCTGAACTCGTCGAGGATTGAAGTGATGGCGGGGTTGGAGGGCGGGGCTTGATCGGGTTTGTCCGTCGGGAGTAAGTCCTTGGGACTTTYGCGATCAAGGACAAGACAGTAGTAGGCGGAGTCGGGGCTTAGGCGAGCCATGTGGAGGAATTGGTGCGAGGTGACAGAGCCTTGGGAGGTCGGATATGGGAGATAGGGGATGTCAATGGTTGTGTCGGGGGGGTTGGTGAGGCGAAGGAAGTTGGGGTGGAATGCGTAT